AGGACAATAATTGATGCCTGTTCATATACCGGTAGTAAGTAAGTAAGTAGTAATTAGGTTTATTATAGTGACTTGTGAACATGTATCAATAAATATAACACAATTACTCAATGTTGCACCCGGCCCATTGGACCAATAAGTCACCTATTTGACAAATTTAATAAGTGTAGACAGTATCATGGACTAAATGTATTGTTATTGCGCAGAATATTGGTGTCTTTTTAAAAAAATGAAGAAGAGGGCGAGTTTTTCTCCTTAACGCTCTTTTTTACAAAATAAATATCAATGTTCTGCATATCATTCGAAAGAAAATTAACCACAGAAAAATATTAAATAGTTAATTTTCGCTTTGTTTATTACATAAAGATGTAATTTGTTCATGCAGATGCCTTAAACGTTATTTTAAGGGTGTCCCGCTGTTACAATTGTGGTTGGTGCGGGTCTTTGAAAAAACTTTGCGGATTTAAAAGTTCGCGAAATAGTATAAAATTTCGCAAGAGCTTTGTACGTCATCAAAGAAATATGACATCATCGCCGTTTTTCAAGATGGGTGAAAGAAGAGCCAGAAAGGTTGAAACAGATCAGAGAAAAAAATGTCCCATTCAGATGATCAACACCTGTAAAAACTTTTCAACTTTAGTTATTTTTTGATAAAAGAGACGTAAGTAGCATTTAAATGTCCTAAAGAAGCTTTCTGAAGTCATCAGTATACCTTATCGCTATTTGTCCGCCATTACTGGACATCACAAAGGTTCCCATAAAATTTTGACGTCACAATAGAAAATAACTGACGCCACAATGGGAAAGTGATTGTTGTATGACGTCAATATATTATAGTTCAATCGGCGTAGATTCTCGGGTCAACCGGCGCAGATTTCAAAATAGCGATAAGGTGTATGTCTAACTACGGTCTTACCTTCAAAGTATCGTCAGTTTTCCCGTGTCCAATAAAATGTCCCCACTAACAAAATAAGGCATTTACACATCTAAAGACTGTTTAATAAATGAGATTTCACTTGATCCACAATAAGAAACACCTTTTAACTGATAGAAATGAAAAATACATTTAATGTCCTCTATGGTGACATAAAACTTATGTTCATAAAAGCTGCATATCGAAAATACGAAAAGAAATAAAATGTCTAATGAAATGTCCCCATTACTGGACGTCGGCGTTGTCATGAAAAGTTTTGAGCTGAACACGGCTATTCAAACATCTTATAGTTCGATGTATAAAATTCTTACAGGCAAATTGGAGAATTTTTAATTCCATACTAATTTCCATGTAATGGTACAACTATATAAATGTCCATGTACTATTGCTGTCAGTAAAGCAACTAATATCATAATGCATACAAGTAAACTCGTATAAATGAATATGTATACAGGTTAAAAGATAACTCAAATAGTCATATATTTATCTGCATGCGTAGCAGGATTACATTCACTTCAAATATGAATAAAAGGAGACATGGAGAAAACGTCAATGAGACAGTAACCCAAAAACAAAAATAACCACAAGATATCGACAATAGACAATAGACATACAAGTCTTCAAGTTCAGTTTATATACTCTGCTAACGCCGATACTTTCTAATAAATGCACCATACATCTACCCTATCCTTTTGAATTGTCGGATTTCATTATAAGTAAAATTTTATGCTTTGTGTACGCAACATTGCATTAAAAAAATTGTTTCAGAAAATTTATAAACTTTGAATACTATATGTATACTACATGTACATTGATGTAGGTATAATTGACATTCCATTGTTTTCCCTTTTAACAGTCAAACACAAAATGTCTGCCAAAAAGAAACTGGAATTTAGCAGAAAACAGAAACTCTTGAAACGTCGACAACAAAACCTGGCCTCATACTACAAAAGTAGAAATATAAAATTCACCGATTATACGTACACAAATACCAAAGAAGCAACAAAAAAGCGAGCATACAGGGCAAAAAAGGCCGAAAAAAAAGAAAAGGAAAATATTAGAAAGAGAAATTACAGGCAAGCTATGAAAAGCAAACAAATAACTCAAAACACATTAGACGGCAGGGATATTTTTTAAAATGTGTTTAATAACAGGACTACTAAACACAGAGCCATTCAGAGATTGAAACACGCACTACCAAGAACACCGAAAAGGCGATCGGCTTCTCTCGCTGCCTACCTCCAGCATACTAAATCACCAGCAGTTGAAATTCTTATACAGGCGGAAGTTGTATCTTCACCAGAAGACCAGATGGATATGGCAATACAAAAGGCTGCTCTAGAAGATATAAAGACAGCCATTGGAAGTTGCAACAAAGAGATCAAAAGATTCCGTTTCATCAATGAACGTTCTTGTGGCATCCATCAGTGGTGAAAAGGTTACAGAGACCAGGTGTCGCAAAAGTTTAGCAAAAACATTAGGACTACCAGTAAGACGATTGAGTAGGGGAAACCGAATCAGGACAACGATTTTAAAATCAGAAAAATCCTGCTGGGCCTATGTATGCAGAAAGACCCGCAAAGACGCATTATCTGAGGAAACAAAACGACTGGCGTATAATTTTTGGATGAAACCATATATCCCGTCCTACAGGTAACAAGGCAGATGTGAAACGAGAAAGGATTGGGCCCAAAACGTACTCTAGTCACCAAGTTTATCTACTTGAAAAAACACAAACCGAGGTATACATTGATTTTACTGCAGAATATCCATGCATAAAAATATCCCAGCGTTCTTTTGAAAATTGTAAACCATATTTCATTCGTCAAGTGCGTCCGAAAGATAGACAAACCTATTGCTCCAGGTACCACGTAGAAACCAAAAGCGCATTCAAATGTTGTATGAATTTTCGGAAACAGATATTGAACGAGAATGATGCATATGATGAAAATAATGTTCATGTTTATGATTACATAAGTGACATTGTAGATGTCACATTATGTAACAAAGAAGATAATGTCCACAAAATATCATGCCTTAAAAGAGATTGTGGAGAATGTGGTATTAAAAAACTAGAACATACTGTCAGAAGAAACTGATGATTTAGATACTGCTCAAATAGTAAGATGGGAGAGATTTGAAAAGGTAGACATTAAAATTAAAGGCAACAAAACAATTAAAAAGTTAGTCCTTGTGAAGAAAGAAACCAAAGCTGTAGAACTATTTTCACATTTTTTAGAACTTTTAAAATCATTTCCGCTACACCAGCATAGAGGAACGTGGCAAAACAAACAATACCAAACCCTTCTAACTGATCTTCCACAAAATCATTGCGTCTGTGTACATGACTTTTCAGAAAACTACCGCTGTACTGATTTAAGAGAACTTCAAAGTTCATATTTTCAAAAGACGGAAGTGTCTATTCATGTTACAAGGATATATCGCCACGGTTTACTTGAATATGACGGTGTTGAGAGTACCTCTGAGTTTCCTGAAATAAGTACCGAACATTTTTTTGTGATAAGTAGTGACCAACAGCATGATCAACATTTTGTTCATGAAGTTCGAAAGAATATTACAGAGTACTTAAAATCCATCTTTTACCCAGTCCATACACTGCTCGAATTTACGGATGGATGTGCAGCACAATACAAGAGTCGCCACTGCTTTGGTGATATAAGCCGGACTTGTAAGGATTTTGGATACAGCAATTTCACCCGAAATTATTTTGAGACTGCACATGCAAAAGGTAATATTTTTTTGGGGGAAATCATTAACATTTTAATATTTTTATTTTTTTCAAAGAACACTTCATGCAAATTTCTTTGATAATAGGCTATTTGCATTGGTTGCATTTTCATCTAACGTTAATAAGCTCAGTCAGCAGAACAACAACATTATTGGCAATGGGTGTTATTAAAGCGGGTGATATAAAATAGCAATTTCATCTTCCGAAATACATGATCGTACACAATAGAAATGTAACAAAACTGATAAGACACAGCAGTATTCAAAGGTTAACAAAATCTACGGAAGAATAAAAAAAAACTTGATGATCGAATATCAGGCGAATATACTACTAGAATCAACAATCCAAAGCTCAAAATTATTTTTTGTTTAAATATAAAAACCACCAATACATTATTTAATACAAAGAAGACATGTGAGGCATACATTAAAAAATGTAAGAATGTTTTTTAAAAGATGTAACAAAATACATATCTGTTTTGTTTATCTTAGTCCGTTATCTTTCTTTTCATAATTTTATATTTTACATGTATATATTTCTATGTAATTCGGTATTTGCTTCTTATTACTCTTTACCCATCAGCAATCAATATATAATATACTTCCTTAATGTGCTATGGTAGATAACCACACTCAAACATATATCACATTCGACTTCGTCTCGGGTGACATACTTCTTTTCGTGTTGTAATAGAAAATTGTATGCGTGTTTATACGAGTCAAAATCGCATTTCTTTTACATCTTAAAACATTGACAGTTTTTGTAAATAGCTACTGCAGATAAATAATGTCCATCTATTATAATAAATTAATTTTACTCATTATTTCAGGCCCCCAGGATGCCGCCGGTGGACTTCTAAAGCGACAGGCAGATATAGCCGTCTTACGCGGACGAGCGACAATACAAAATGCATCCGATCTATATAATTTTGCCGTTTTGAATATGACACAAACCAAATCCATTGTAAAAGAAGAATATTTAGATTTGTGGAAACAATCCCGAGGGACACAAACCTATCTTACAAACCTGTATCAAACATAAGATTAGTACACCAAGTTATTGCTAGGGATAACTGTGATGAAATTTTAATCAGGGAACTGTCATGTTTTTCTTGTGACAAATGTGCCAGTCATATTTATGAAGAATGTGAAAACATTTCAAACACAGGGAGTTTTACAAAACTAAAAATGGTTAATGAAACCCCGAGACTATAATTAATAACAATGAAGACACAAACCCCGAAATCGAGAGGGAAGGATTATCTGACCTGGTTTCTTCAGGACAAGTCATTGCTGTTTACACAGATGACCCGGACAATGATTACTACCTAATAAAAGTTATGGATTGTCCTCACGTTCTTGGTGTCGACACAACAGATTCATGGGGCTCCATATTGCCAACTGGGACAAATGTTATCAGTGGATTGTATTATGACAATAAGACATCATCACCACTATCTTATAAACTTGTATCGAAAAAAAAGGCAATCGTTCCAGCAGAATCGATAGTTTATATATGTTCCAAAATTGACGCCACAAGAAATATTCAATTACATGAGGACATTCATCTCAGCATTTTACAGTGTATAAATGAATTAAAATAGTCATATATATAGGAGTTATTTTATATTTCAGTTTTTCATATTATAGTTTTAGCGTTGCTCGTATTATAAATCAAAATAACGTCGTCCTCTTCGCGCAATATTGACGTTTCAACTGTAACGTCAAGTGACACAAGTATTGTGCGTAACGTCATTACTACTTTTAAAATATATTATTTCTCAATTAATTCAAAATCAAAATAAATGTTCAAATATTTAGATTAAACATATAAATAATTTAAATGTTATGGATTATACAGCAACTGACGTCTTATATGAAATGCACGAATAATATATTTTGCTAATTTGCTTGTGTGGCTTTAAAGTAATTAAAAAGTTCATATAAGTATCACATTGATGACACCTTTGCCGACCAAAAGACACACAAATCGCTTTCCAAAAACATTTTGTACTTGAAGTCTATTTCTTATCCTAGAAATGGACGTTATAATACCTTAAATAATTTGAAAAATAATTTTCGAAATACGATTTGCGAATATGTACACTGATATATCAGTAAGAATAAGGCATATTCCTCTGTAGATCTGAATTTACTCCTCCATGTAAATGCTCCTAAAATGAGAAATAATAGACATATTTAATTTCTGATAAGCTGTTTTAACATTTTTAAGTTTTTTTATCTTGAAAATTATTAATAACTAAGGACCTCTGTATGGGATTTTGATTGGTTGATTGTTGGTTGCGTAACATCCACTGAAATATTTTCATGCATGTTCAGGGCGAATTTGACAGAGTTATGTGTTTCTGATGTCCTTTCTATGTCGATTATTTGATTTATTTGTTTTAAGTTTTAACCATTAATATTAGGTGATTGTAAAACACAAGCACCCGATTTTGATGATCTTTGGTCATTTCCACTGATTTTCTATCATATATACAGACTATACGCGATAACTGCTCTAAATCTTTTACAGTGATTACCAATTATACAAATGTGCTGTTTTAGAAATAAGTGATGTTGTACAAAGAGAAAAGTAGAGCAAATTTCTATCCAAATTTTTTCTCTTCCTCTTACAGATTCTTATCTATGCCGCAGTCTTAATGCAGATTTTGGTGCACGTCTTACCTATATTAGCATACATCTGTTTCCTGAAAAAAAACTCTGCGGACGAAATGTTTGGTTAATTCGTAGAAACAGTTGTATTTGGAAAACTTAAGCCAATGAATTAAAACATTTTTTTTTAACATAGCAATTTTTTTTTATATTTCGATTCAGTAATCAAGATTGTTTTGTATCGTAAGTTCTTACATTAAAAATACAAATTTTAAAACATGCAATTGCTACACTAATTATGAAGGAAAGTTAAATAAAGAAATTACCAGAATGGAAGTTTATACTTGCTGGAGCAACGCTGGCAAAAACATGTAATATCAGAATCTTTCTTACTACACGTGAAAAATGTGCATGGTTACCGACTGCAATAAAGACTACATCCCATTCTCTGCCTTGCAGAGCAAGAATAATCACGTGATTCCATGACTGAAACAAAAGTAATTACTGTACAACATTTGCAATAAGTTCGAAGTAATATGCCCGTATACAATATATAAGAGTTAGAACCAATAGGAATCTACACATTGACTCTAAACCAATACAGCACGAAATGTTTGTTGTATGAAGAGTTAATCGAGAAAAAGAATGTTGAAGGCCGTACGATGACCTATAGTTACTTACATCTACGTCAATTAGTCCCTGGTGGATAGTTGTCTCATTGGCAATCATACCACATCTTCCTACTTTTATACTGATACGTTAAAATGTGCATTAGGACTTGACTGGGTTTGGGTTGAGCGCTCACAAACATGTTTAACTCCACCACATTCTTTATGTGCCTGTCCCAAGTCAGGAGCTTGTTCAGTGGTTGTCGTTGGTTCATGTGTGTCATATTTGTTTTTCATAAATTGTTTTGTAATACATTAGGCCGTCAGTTATCTCAATTGAATTGTTTCATATTTTTTATGTCGGGGCCTTTTATAGCCGACTATACGGTATGGGTTTTTCTCATTGCTGAAGGCCGTACGGTTGCCTATATTTGCTGACATCCACTTCATTTGAACTTTGTTGGATAGCTGTCTCATTGGCAATCTTACCACATCTCCTTATTTTCAAATTACAAAGTACATTATGTCTTCTGCCGTTTTAGAAAACGATCTTGAAGTCATTTAGAAAAATTATGTTGTCTCTAAATCTGTTATAATGTTAAACATCCCCCGTTCCATTATGTTATCAATTAGACCTATGGGATTTTCAGATAGGAGATTTTTTTTTTCTGTCAGAAAATACACAGTGTTTTGGACTTTCTATGATGCCTTTTTTGTTTTCCATTTTATTGAGCTCCTGAAGGTACAGTTAAACTATTTGTGTTTTTGTTTTTCCAGATGTTGACAAGTTGTGTAATTTATTATGTGGTTTTTCGGGGTGTTCATAGTATCCTGAGCGTGACACATTTTCGCGAATTCTCAATGATCAATTTTCAACTACTATCTTTCCTAACACGTCCGTAATCTAGGGCATGTAACGACGAGTTTTTTTTTACGACCTTGACTACCCATGAGGGTCCTGCACGGTCGGCATGTAACGATTTAAAATGATTTCTTTTAAAAATGAGAGGAAAAGATATTTAAAAAAAATGTTTATCTGTTAACAGATATGTCGATTTGATTATTGCACATATACACTTTTTTCAATTCATTTTCACTACATGTTGATGTGAATAAAAGGAAATGTGGGGATATACGTCAATGAGACAGCGACCCAATTATCAACAAACAACAAAGAACACAACCACAAGACGCGTAGAGGTCAACATACAATCTTTGGTAAACAGATGTCTTTGCAATATATTAAGCTCTAAATCGTTCCGAGTCTGAATACGTTATGAATAGTTTAATTAGAAACTATCAAAAATCTGCTAACAATTATTATACCTAATTATGCAAATGATAAAAAAGCATAAAGTCATCCCGTTGTTTTCTTCGTCTATTATATTAAGAAAAAAATGATAACATTATTAGTTATACTCTTTATTGTCATTAGTTTTCAGTTTAACTATTTAACAGAACGTCTAAAGTTACGAGCGTCATTCGGTTTATCGAGAGAAAAAAAAAATGATCGTGAAAGAATAACTAACGGTGGTCAAACATTGCGATCATATCGTCAAAGAACTGGTGTCGGATCGTGAATGCAATTAAGTGTAATTCTACTTCAGAATCTGTAAAAGGTGGAACAAATCAGAAAAAAAGAAATATGTCTGTCAAAATGATTCGACTTCCTTAATGATACTGTGCACTACGTTGAAGAAAAATTGCAGTACTTTTTCCCATGAGAATCATTAAGAAAAAAAAAATCACGTTTTGTATCAATAATGGTCACATTCCAATATATCATGATATATTGGAAACTCAATCTTTAATGTGTCAGATAGTCCAGTCAAATTAAAATGAAAAAGTTCATATTATTTTTGAGGGGGTCGGTTCAAATTTTCACATTAAAAAGTTTAATGATCCCCTTAGAACATAGTTTCAAAAGTTTGACCCCCAAACAAAAATCCCTATCGATTATGAAGAGAAATTCTCACTATAGTTGGACATTTCCCAGATGAGGGGTCTGTAGAAGCTAAACTTATTATATGTGCTTGAGAGCAAAACAAGGGGGCAGGAGGATTTGACACGAGAACAAAGTACAGAGGTAGTACATGAAGGTATAAAGTTGAAAGTAAAGGAAATTACCATTTGATTTTAGGGGAGGAGGATTTTGAAAATGAATATCGTATCCACTGACTAAAATAAGCCTGCGTTACAAGAGCAACAGAGGGAAATGAATAGTCAATCTGCAAAAATTCCTTCTGGATTCCAAAATATAAAATGGTCATCTAGGCCAAATAAATCTTTAACATGTTGAAAGGCTATTTTAATTTTTTTCTGTGATCCCTTCCTTTGGACTAATGGTCATCTAATTATTTGTCAATTTTTTATATCTTGAATAAATGGGGAGACCTGAAATTACTTCACAATCAATAAGTACAATAATTGCAGTACAAATTTATTAAAGGCAGACTTTATTGGTGGTGTAACACAGAATTGGTCTGCAGGGGGTGTCGAGTCTGCTCGAGGCACCCAGCAGTGTGTTCAGGGCATCTCTTTCTGAACAAAAAAATTGGTTAGTAATATGTGTGAAAGTTAATATAAGCATATATCGACATACATGAAAAACTGTGACGGAAATATTTTTTGGCCGACGAACGGACAAACCCACAGACGGACAAGGTGAATGCAATATATTGATAAAAACATATATATTTACATAATTTACATTTTATATATATGTTTGATGTTCTTTTTGAAAATAAATCATTCATTTAATAAGGTATTAAAAGCATGAAAAGCAAGTAAACTTTTATTTTTGTATTGACAGAAATGTGCATGACTGCTTCAGTGACTGCACTCTTCTAATTTGCTTGGCTCTGAAACTCCTAATGAGCAAATGATGAGTTTAGATAATGATTAAAATTGTATCATAGTTGTTTTCCTTAAATTAAGTAAAAATGGTTAAGTTATTATTGTACACATGACCAGTTAATTCACACGGATTTACTCTACCAGATTACATGTATATTCACCCCACCCCTAATTTGTTCATAGTTAAAATTTACCAAGCAGGAAAAGGGAAATCATCTACATATTGCAATTTTGTCTGAATTAATTGAAGTTTAAAATTATTGTTTCTCTTGAAAGTTCTCCAATATTAGGATAGCTTTCAATGCATTTCACCGCACTTGCACTTTTTGTTGAATCTGATAAATTACTAGGCATAGTTTGAGTTTCTACATGAGTATTGTCACAAGACTTTGACACCATACTGGGAGAGTTAAGCAGATTAGCTTCTGCTTCTGATGCAAACTCCGAAACAGTGGTGACATCTAGCTACGCTTCTTTACAGTCTAATCCGCAGCAAATAACCGAAAACACCCGAAGAGCCAATGGCAGTGTTTGTAGAGAAAGGGAAGTATGACCCGAACGATAACGCTGTATGGAGTTTGCTTCTGATGCATCCATTTCGTTGGAATGTCTTTTTTTCCTATAAAAAGAATAAATCTATTGACACAACAGCATATTTTACTTCTAGATTACATGTATACCCCCCCCCCCCCCCCAAAAAAAAAATTGTTACCAAGCACAATAGGCACACAAAGAATGTGGCGGGGTTAAGCATATTTAAAGGCGCCAACTCTCCCCTAACCAGGGGCAGAGGTGTAACAGTACAACATAAGACAAAACTATAAAAAAAAAAGTTGAAAAGGGCTTAACTCATCAGATCGATACATAGCAGAAAAACATCCAACAAAAACACAGACCAGACGTAGCAGGGTATTTATACATCCCTCACCTAAAAAAAGACACAAAGTACAGATCTGATCTAGTACTCGCAGTTACTGACAGCTAGTGCAAAGCAAATAACTATTAGTAAAAAAACATGTGTCTAAGACATAGACTTATTCACAAACAAAGGTGAAGCGGAATAAGGCATGCCAACCCAATCTTTTGCTATACCAATCACAAATATAAATTATCATGTCACCCCTTTAAAGAATGATTTGATCGTTTTCGTGGATTTTTGCAATAACGAATAAGCGGAAACAGATCTTTCTCGGTCCTTTCCACGATCATCAAAAAGCGGTACCCGATCTTTTACGATCCGAAATATCATTGTTTTACAAATATTCCCATTTTTGCAAAGTTTTTTTTTATCAAACTAAAACAAAATAACCTTAAGAACTATTTCAAACAGTAGTATAGAACGATATCTTTAACAGAAAAGTAGTTTATGCATTCAGAATTTGAAAAACAAAATCTTATTTGTTTACATTTTTATTTCTTTGAATTACGATTTGCCTTTTGTAGTTTTGTTAAAACGGTGTAATTTTGAAACTTGATTTTTTTCGGATACTGATCATAATGTTTAACCATTTTGACAGACAGTTATTTTTCCAATATTTGTCATCATAATTCATAAATTTAGATTATTTACTGACGTTGCATGTGTCTTCTCGATAAGATTTCCTTCACGATTCTTTACCAGATCTTTCACGACCCAATCGCAATACTTTACCACAGTTACTTCTTCTTTCACGATAATTTTTCTCGATATACCGAATGAGAGCTGTGGTCTTCGAAAGGAACGTATAAAACATTGGAGTTCTATTTGTAATAGTGATAATTCATCGTAAATAGGTTTAAAGTTGCCGTTATAGTTCTAGGTTGTAAGAGCCGAAATACTGACAATTAAAAGTGGATAGTAGCAGACATTAGTTTTTTTTTATAAACAAACTATTTTACTAGAATTACAGTAATGCTTACCATTAACAGCAAGTTCTAACATAACAACACATAGTAAAACTAGTGTCTTCATGTTTTAAGATTAATCTCTGTGAGGTTTCTGTAATGGAAAAAAAGCAAAACATTTATGCATAGCATGGCAAAATATTGACGGGATCAACAATGCATCTGTTTCTGTCGATACATCAGTTTACTTTAAGGTCTTTGACTATCAGATTTGTTAAAAACTTTAATAAATAGCCGAAAAAAAATAATCTTACAAAAACACAGGATGAAATGAATATTCTGCATTACAAAATGCAGGAAACAATTGTGCACAATAGTTGAATTTTGCGCGCGGATGCCGCATTTAGCCTGCGTAGCAACAGACGAAAATAAATGTTCTGGCAAAAAAACCCTCCTGCGACCCTTCAACCCCCCCCCCCCCCAAAAAAAAAAAAAAACAACAAAAAAACAAATGGTCGTCCCCTTATTGTGTAAGACAGCAATATCTTTCTTCTGCTTTAAAAAGAAATTAAACGCTGAAATTGTAGCAAACACCAAAACTTCAAACAAATTATGCAAAGTTCACAATAAGTCTAGCAAAGAAAGCAATGAAATATGCCATTTCAAATTTTGCAGATATCCAGTTAGCGTGCAGTGTCAGTGAACTTACCTAACACAAGCCTACAAGGTAAGTGGTAAAGGAGCATAGATACAAGAAATAAACATCACAACGTTTAAATATGTACTTATCAGGAAAGAGAGAGGAACTGTTCGTCGCCGAAATCATCTGTAAATTTTACGTAGTTGACATAATACATATGTCAAGGTCGGGTCCCTAAACAAATTTCATTGAAGGTTGTAACTTTTTTTGTTGCGCAAATTACCTCTGTTCAAGTGTTGCGAGCAACAGTTATAAACAGTATGTGATATCGTGTTATTTCAACACTCTATGATACGAGGCTTTATAACGAGCTTGATGTCGACCAGATAGAAGGCGATAAACGTTTCTAAATGGTTTCAAGTGGTATAGTTGAAGTCATCCTTTCGAAAAATTTACCGACGCCACCACGAGTTGGTAGCCCGATATGGAATATCTGTTTCACAGATGACGACGGATATGATTCAATTGTTATAACCACAACCATCATCTGTTCCTAGAATGTGTCAGCGGCGAATTTGTTTTTACATGAGCTCAAGACGGGTGTCTCATGTGGATCAGGATCTGCTTACCTTTCTGGGCACTTAAATTCACACCCGATTTTAGGCGGGGCTCATGTTGCTCGGTCTTTGGTTTTGTATACTGTGTTTTGTAGACGGTTGTTTGTCTTTTCGTCGTTTTTCGCTTCTTTTTTTTTGCCATGGCGTTGTTAGTTTGTTTTCAAATTATTACATTTAATATCTCTTTCGCTTCCCTTTTTCTATGAAGTACATTATGATAGTAGGGATATAGTGAATTTTACCAGCAGAAAACGTTATAACTATAATTATGCAAGTATTGATACCGGCAAGGTTTAAAAAAAAACCTTACATTTCTGTAACCCTTTAACACTTTAACAGTCTGTCTATATATAATTTGTTTCTGTTCCAAGCCAGGAACCTGCAATTCAATGGTTGTCGTTGGTTGCTGTCTTTCATAATTGTTTATCGTTATAGTTTAAGCATAAATCAGGTCGTTGATCTCGTTTGAATTTGTTTTTTTTTTTCGTTTTGTCATGTTAGGACCTTTTATAGCTTACTGTACGGTATGGGTTTTGCTCATTGTTGCAGGCCATATGGAAACCTGTAGTAGCTACTCCACGTATTTGGTCTCTGGTGAATAATTGTCGATCATACAACATCTACTTATTTTTATATAATGTTATACATGATCTTTACTAGTATTTAATTTTCTTGATCGGGATATTGCACGTTTTGATTGAGCGTGGCGAATTAGTTTGGATCTATCAAAACATTCTAGAATATTTTCGGGCGTAAATTGAATTTTCTTCTTTTTCATCCTTTCATATCTATGCATTTCTTCTGTACTTGAAGGTGTTGAACTATTTTTGCTCAGGCATAACTTAAACACAAATATAAGCTAACGTAACTTTAACTAGCCTATTCGCTTATCAAAAGGCCCGGCTGTTTGAATTATTTGACAGATGATATATTTAACTGAAACGATGTGAATATGACTGAATATTTACAAGGTCTTCGATGTCAAAATATGAAATAAACTATTTCGCGTTTTCGTCTTTGATATTTTATAAACGAATACGAACATCAAAGGTGATTTTCCGTTCGCTTTCGTGTTTTCGCTGGCGCTCTTTTTGTGTTTTCGTGTTTTCGCCTTTCCACTTTAGAACTACATTCCACAGTTAAATGCAAAAAAACATCAACATTAACCACATTCCAAACAGTTGTGTATGAAACTCTACCAGAATTAATATTTATGCCTTTATTTAGGATAATAATAATAATAGTTTTAACCCAACTTTTAGAAGGTTAATTTAGATTTCAGATGCTGTTTGAAAAAATATAAAAATCAAAGTGAACCTCAAAAAACAAGAAAACATTAGTTCTGAACTGACATTCATAGGAGCCTTACAAGTCTTACTTAAGCCAATAAACTGATGTTTTTTACAGTATTTTTCATCATTGGTTCATTACTTTAGATTTGCTTAAAGAGCATTTCTTTTGTAATAGAATACAATGAGTTTTGTATCTGGGAAAAAGAGGAAAGCAAGGAATATAATTGAACTTTCAATAAAGATGCTAAAATATATAAAAAAAACAACATTATTTTAATTTTGTTCTCTCCAAACGTCCGGACTGGTATATTTTGAACATTATCGATGTATAACTGGTTAATTATTAAGTCAGTCAGTGATTTCGTAACCACAAATTACTTAAAACTTTAACTAAATTCTTTCATGGAAACGATGCTTTTGTTGCTAATAAAAAAAACAGGATATCACATCCTAATATTTACGGTAATGTTGTTTATAAAGCACATACATTTAAATACGATTAACGCAAACTCATAGATCCTGTGAATATACATTTGTACTTATTCGCAAAGGATGTCATTTTGACACCGTAGTAAGATCTTTGAATATAATTTTTTATCAAATTAATTGTGTTTTTGATAAATTAATACATAACTAAATATGTATTGCTTTTCATTTGTGAAAACTTATGTTCCTATATCCTATCGATATGTACTTATATTTTGGCATTGCACAAGGTTATGCTTTTCTCTGACTTATAGGGACCTCGGTGGCCGAGTGGTCTATGTAGTCGAACTACTGTATCACTAGTCTGGCAACACAGAGGTTGTGTGTGCGCTCGACTCCAATCTTAATTGACTAGGATTGTTTGTTTTACTACCGAAGGTCGGTGGTTCTCTTCGGGCACTCCGGCTTCCTCCACCAATAAAAACTGACCGTAGTCCAGTTAATTTCTGTAGGTACGTTTATGTGCATTGTTGTCTGGAACTTTAAACAAAAATTGTCATTTTTTTTGCCAATTCTCGAAGTCAGTTAGATGTAAAACCACTATTTAGTCAAGAAGTTTTACAGGATAACGTACATCGATAGTGTACCTTATAAAAATATAGGTTAGTCGTGTGTAAATAAGTATGGCCAATTCCCTCTGTATAAATTAAAGATGTGGTGCATGATTGCAAATCAAACAACTAACAAACAGAGTCCAAATAACGTGGATTTAAGCAATTTTAAAAAGATCATCGTACGTGGTTTAAGAATGTGGCATGATTAAATATGTTCATGGGCGTACAACTCTCTCCCCAACATGGGACAATTGTGTAACAGCATAACATACTAAAGTAAAAACAAACAAATCTGCTGGAAATGTCTCTACTGATCAGATTGGCACGCCTGGAGCACATTAACAACTACGATAAACATACAAGACACAAAGCACCTAGTATATGATTTATCTAAACTGATATGTACATAATTGAAGTGGTAACAAAGGTTTTGTCAAGTTTGTGTACGTATTTTATGTTATGATACACTATGAATATTGTCTGGTACTTACATAACTGTTTAGTTAAACCCCGCAAGGATGGAAATATGTTCTAAGTTTGCTTTCCTCTATTCAGGATTGCTGTCTCATCATTATGTATTTTATGTAAATGAGAGTTTTGTGTTATATTTCAATTTTTCATACGACCAGTGAGTTGCAAACCAGAGTCTTTTTTTCTGTTCTCTCCATGTGATTATGGTTGTAAAGAACACATTTGCTTTTTTTCTACTTAAATTTGTTGTTCCTATCTCCTTTTTCTAAGGTTTCTTTCGATCAGACAAGTAGGTTTTTTTTATGTTGTATGTGTTTAAGCGGCGGCTTTCAATTGGGAAATTGCACCGTACACTAACCTATTTAATTTTACTTTAGAAAAATTCCTTAAACTTTGTTATCACTGATAAACGTTTTATTGATAATTACATATTATCGCTTATTGTTCTACTTGGAAGATACAGGTACGTGATTGCTTGATGAATTAAGTATATACATATATCATGAATATAAGGTCGGAGCGACCATCGGTTGGCACCGCTAATCTGTGTATCTAATGTGAAATATAAAAATAAAAAGATGTGGTATGATTGCCATTGAGACAACTCTCCACAAGAGACCAAATGGCACAGAAATTAACAACTATAGGTAACTGTACTTTGTTTTTTAAATGATTAAAATATTGAATATGTGTAGATAATACTTTAGCTTTAGAAACTAATGCGTAAGACCAGGAACATATATATATGTTAGATATACTGTTCCCAATTAAGACTTGCAATTAAAATTTACAAGTGGTTCAATACTTGGGAACAGTTAATGATCAACCTTAGACATATTTAATTTTAGAAACTTGAAAATAATACTTTGGCATGTTTTAATTTATTGAATGTTGTTTATGTAAAGTCCAGCGGCAAGTATTTCATCAGTTCTCTAGTCGGGAGGTTCTTTTGTAGATTTGCCCTCAAGTGTTGTTAACGTAGCTATTAAGTAATATTGGTGCAGTTGGACATATTAAAAGATAAAATAATCATTTGCAATTCTTCAAATATAACTAAACCTGCAATACTCGTATCTTCAGTAATTAATGTAATTCTTGTAGAATGTTTGTATCATAATTGTGCATTAAAACTGGGACTATTATACTATGTCCCAGATTAAAATAAGTGAGACTTTCATGAAATGTTGAAACTGAATCATAATCTTTTAAAATAATCTACAAAAGTTAAAAAGAAATAGTGTCTTTGCCAGATGATTAATTAATATTACGCAAGGTACCGAAATGATAATTAAACCTGTTAAATATTGATTAGTACTTTGTAATTATTGTAAAAACAAATGGCACGCGACTGTTTTTCTCAATGAAACCATACAACAAACCTCAAACACCTGATAGACAATTTTGAAGACAGAGCGTGTGCTCTTGTTTTGATTGTGGCCCCTTTGATGTTTCTCAAATCTATAAAGAAAATTTAATAAATGTCTAAATGAAGAAAGAAAAAAGAAATACATGTTTTATCTGATTTGATGAAATTCTAATAAAAAACTGAATCTGAAAGTTCAAATTGCGAATTCTGCATGACGTTATAGTTTGTCCATTGGAAAGGAGGAAAAAATAGAGGGGGCAGCATGTATAATGCTGTTATTTTAATAACGCACATGTATGGAGATATATGCTGCCCCTCTTTTCTTATTTAAAAAAAATTAAAAAAAAACTTAATAAAAAAATTTAAAAAAACGAAACTATGTTTGTCCGATTGGATGATCTGTGAAACTTTGATAAAATAATAAAATACTGAATATTGTCAGATTTAAATAAAGTGCTTTAAAAGTGCTTTGATAGATGATTAATTAACACTAAGACAGGTACCCCAATGATAACTAAACCTGTTAAATATTAATTAGTACTTGGTATTCGGTAATTATTGTAAAAACAAATGGCACGCGGCTATTTTACTCAGTGAAACCCTACAGCAAAGCATTATAGACAATTTTGATGTTGTTTTCATTGAGTTTCCCATATCTAAAAAGAAAAGAAAATACAAAAAATAAATAAATTAATAAAATGGAAACATAAAATATACATTTTTCATCTGATTTGATGAGACTTTGAGATGAGAAAATATTTAACCAGAAATATAATTACTTTCTTTAACTAATTAAACTTTTCTTGCCCCTGTCAATACGATGTTACAATAACAGTAGTTTATATATGCTGCATGCCCCTGTCAATACGATGTTACAATAACAGTAGTTTATATATGCTGCATGCCCCTGTCAATACGATGTTACAATAACAGTAGTTTATATATGCTGCATGCCCCTGTCAATACGATGTTACAATAACAGTAGTTTATATATGCTGCATGCCCCTGTCAATACGATGTTACAATAACAGTAGTTTATATATGCTGCATGCCCCTTTGTCTAATTTTCCTCTTAAATAAGATAAGAGCGGCAGCATATATAAACTACTGTTATTGTAATAACGTAAGGAGTTATACCCCTTTATTATTTTTTTCTAATATAAAATAAAAAAAAAAGAAGAATGAATAAAATAAATAAATATATATTTGTCCGATTTGATGATTTTGTATGAGACTTTGATCAAATACAGAATCCGACACTGTCAAATTTGATATTGCAAATTGTGCATTTCGTTGTAGGTTTTCTTGACAATTTAGAATAGCTTTTCCGAATTGTATAAAAATCAAATGAGGAACAAAATGTCACTGTGGTCAAAGTGCTAACATAGATTAACCAAGATAATGCAATATGTACAAGTACAGGAGCGAACCGTTTTAATATTATCTACAATTTTAAAGTTTAGAAATATATAGTATCTTTGCTACATGATTGATTTACAAGAAGCAAGATATTTCAATGACAAATATAAAATGTCAGACACCAATAAATACTTGCAATGTATTCGGTAATTCTTGTAGAATGTTTGTTTCATATTGTAAATATATTTTTTAATCAGAAATATATAATGCATATTGTTTGATATGTCTCAATTTCTATGTACTATATGTTTATGTCTTATAAATGGCGAGACTAAAATAAAATAATGAAAACTGAATCCCAATCTATTAAGATATTGTTTTTTAAGTCACGGTTTTAAGGCACTGTATGTGTATGCATTAAATTTTGGCGAGGCTTTAATAAAATATTGAAACTGAATCCTAACCTATTAAAATGCTAAATAAAAAAGGGTCTTTGGCAGATAATTAATTGATATATTTTGTATAAAGTACCTCAATGATAATTAAACCTGTTAGATATTAATTGATACTTTATATTCGGTAATTATTGTAAAAACAAATACCACGCGACCGTTTTACTCAATGAAACCCTACAACAAACCTCAAACACTTGACAGACAAGATTGAAGACAGAGCGTGTGGTCTTGTTTTGACTGTATACCCTTTGATGTCTCTATAATCTGAATATTTTCCTATCTTATGAAATGAAGAAAAAAAAAAAAGAAAATAAACAATATCAAATTAACAAGAAAATCTTGTAGATCTAATGTTTAAATAGAAGAACATCCTCTATGACAAAATTATTTATAACATATTCACATATGACCACAATATATGGTATACAAATTTATTTTACCTCATTGAAATCATCTGTTAGAACAAACATGCAAAAATCCAAAAACGGAGAAGGCAAAAATAATAAAAAAACAAAAACAACAACAAAAAACCAACCAAACTATTCAATTATGGTAATAAATGCATAAACGCCGCCCCCCCCCCCCCCCCCCCCCGAAAAAAAAGCCTTTACTTCGAAGTCAGGAGTGAAGATTTATTGGAGCCATTTTAACAAAATGGTATAACGAATAGTATAATGGGATAGCTACCCTTTAACACATAGAACACCAAAAACCCATAACGATATATCAGTTGACTATAAGTTATATCAAGTTAATACGACTTACCAATTGGTTAACATATAATTAGGAAAATACATATACATTTTCAGAGACATAATACATATACTGTATTATATGACTCTGTATTTTTTTTCAAGTAAGAGGCAATTTTATGTTATTAGATACATTATGTATATTGGTTGGTAAATTTTCTACCATTTTTTGTGGTATTTTTCAAAGAGATTCTAAAACAAATGTATACGAAAGAAGGATTTGAACTCTCGCGATGTTTGGCTAAGAAGTGTGTTTTTGTACCTAGAGAGAAAACCACTAAGATAACAAAATATAAATATTTTTATGGCAGGAATGTTGCCTTTCATAACATGACAAGTAATGATACAAATTTGATATCATTTATGTTTGTAATATGCCACTATTTTTCACTTTAATTAACTTTGAATTCTTGTACATTAATAAAATTTAAATAATGATAATTTTGGTCCCTTTTACAGAACACCTTGCAATAATAAATGATGTCATTGGAGATGAATCTCATTACGATTTTACATGCAGCCCTAAAGAAATAACAATGTTTCAGGTCATATTTATTCCGATTTCATTTTTTATCAATCAAAGCAAAGAGAAAATAAAAGATTTACTATCCTTATGTAATATATATGTTCTTACGAATTTATCTCTCTTAATCATAAATATTTATAAACAAAATTATGAAAAAAAATGCTTGGTATATTCAAGGACGTTTATTTCGATATTATGTTTGGATACAGATAGACTTTATTGTTGCTTTCTATATATATATATATATATATATATCTATGTTTAATTTTGTAACTGGTATGCTCGTTTTGTTTAATCATTGTATTTTTTATTGCATTCTTCTTGCATTATACTTGAAATGCTCGAGAGTATCAGCAGAAACTTGTAAAATCTGTGTCTATTATACTAAAAGTATAATAGTTCCGGGTAAAATATTGAAATTCTTGGTAAAATAAAAATGCTAATTTGCGTACGAATTCTCAATTTTAACAAAATTCACAAGATTCATTGTTTTAGAGACATATAATACATTTAGTATTTTTTGTTATGTTAACTATTTTTCCACATAGCCATTTAGACAAACTATGTCAATAATGAATGAATTTACCAGTTTAATATTTATGAGAGAACAAAAAATGTTAGCATTTTTTTATTTTATCAGAATCACAGAAAATTGCCAATAAGGCATAATGAATATAAAATTTTTTAATTGTGCATTACAGACATTTTTTACCAGAGATTTCCATGGTTTGTAACTTGGAAAGCTTAAAACAACAAAGGGAGGAGCTTCAGTACATTATTAGGATTATCGTTAATCCTAATTATTATTCAAAATCAAATAGTCCAATAAAATTCTAATAAATGGCTTCACTGTAATAACAAATTCTTAATTGGTCAGTAATTTCTCAAAAATTGTAATAAAAAGATATTTTTTATTCGGTCTTGTCATAACTGTTCCAACATGTCTTCCTACACATGGTCTACTGATTACTTGAACCTTAGTTCCATGATAAGTCGCGGTCAAGATCCTAGAGACAAAGAGCCACCAATGATTGACCACTCATCAGATCTTCTAGACATTATGCCAATGGACTACATAGAGACCCAGTCTACTACCAGTACAATGTCCTATGAATCAGCACCGCCAACAACTGGTGACGCACTCATGTCCAACATTGAAGCTCTCACCAGTCTGCAAGAAGTAACGTCTCTGCTACAACATGTTAACGTCCAGGGCAACACCTTTAACACACATATGCCGTTCAATGTATATAGCCAGCATCTAAACCACCAATCATTGCCACCAGTGCCAACAAATCTGCAACCACCAGCATTACCAGAACTCAGAGAATCATTCTCATCAGTTGTCAAAAGGCCTAGCGCACAAGATCTCTGGCGAACAACATTAGTCCAGCCACCACCTGACTTTACTGTATTCAATCCATCTGGAAAGCTGCCAGAAATTCCAACGCACTCTCAACCTACAGCCTTTGATCCAGAGAATGCCGAGATGGACGACTCATATTGTGTCCTGTGTAAAAGAAATGGTGAAGTCCGCGAATGGTACACTTCTCATGTGTTAAAAGACAATCGTGGTAAAGTGGCTTGTCCAATCCTAAGGAAGTACACGTGTCCAACATGTGGAGCTACTGGTGACAACGCGCACACTATTCGCCATTGTCCAAAGCCTACCAACAAACAGAAGTCATCTGCCAGTGGTAACAAAGGTTTTAGAGTGTAAAAAAACTGTCTTATAGAACTTTTAGTGCTTATTAAATACTATATTAGTGCTTTGCTTTACAGGACGCTAGTTTCTATTGATAATTTAATTTAGCTTATGTAACTGTCAAATTATATAATTAGTGCAACGTATGATATCTTCCAAATAGACATATATGTTATATCAGAGACATACATGTGTATATATGTCTCTGGTTATATGTAAACTAAAAAAAGTTATTTATATCTTGATGTACATATCTAAGTAGTATATTTATTGCATTAAAGAATATTTATTTTACATCTCGTATTTTTTTCCCTGCCAAACAATACCTAAACCCCTCTCGCTTCATTACCACGACTTCTATGCATGTACTTTCACGTAACTACGGTTTTATTGGTCATTGTTACAGTAAATGGAAACATACCGAGTGTTATCTCAATGAAACTGTCTGAGGTATTATGGTTTCAATGTCTTTGAGTTTACGGATGTAACATCGTTTTACTTCAGCAAGAAAAAAGGGTTGCGTTCAAACTTCACACATAAAAATGGAGGCAAACAACAAATATATGTTTTATAATACTGCAGACTATATTCAAAATAGAATTAATCTACTGACTATCCTTTCCAACCTTGAGTTGCTGAAACTCTTTTAACAATGAAGATAAACCTTCAAGTCAGATAGATATATCTAACTATTCAGTTGGTCCAATATCGAACCTACAAAGAAATGGGAAACACTTTTACAAGTACAAAAGACACATGATAAGACGTCACAACAGCTCTGAGTGTAGTCTGTATGTAAAACTTAACATCAAACTAATTGCAACACAAGATTTTGTTGTTGTAAATCATGTGTTGAATCCTGCCACAAACTCGTTAAATGCATCATAATTCTAGCAATTCATTGTTTTCTTGACATTAAAGTCTACATAACTTTTTATCCGAGCGCAACTTACCGACCAACACAGACGAATGCCATCAGTCTGATCGCTCACCTCAAGTTAAAGACCATTACTTATACGGGCTACACAAATGCAATTATTCTAAGCTGAAACTGAAATAGATATATAAGGTTCATCGTGAATGCAAAAATCATATAAAAACATTTCAGTAGAAGCAAGGATTTGTATAGTAAGATACAGAACAATACTTGCTTTAAATTGGCTCAGTGGTTTCAAAATTGTTTTTTTATTATAGTTACCTGTTAAACCGTAAAATTTTGGTCAGTAGTTATCTTGGATGTTGGTAGGTTCAGAGGATGTTTGTTTCAATATCATTCGACAAAATATTAGGAGAGCAATCGATACAAATATAAACATGAAACCAGAGTGAGAGACGTATATAGTAATATAGGTCTCTGATGAAATTTTCCATATTGCCTCACGGGCACTTGTACCTGGATTTTTTTAATCTATATTCGTATTATAGTAAGGTATAAAAAAATCTATATAGGTAAACACAATTTCCAGAGACCAGTGCCTGTGTATTGCCTGTAGTAAAACACTTCGTCATATCTTTATTTTTTGTACTGTTTCAACTATTTTCCCCATTTTGATTCTTCGTTCAAAGTTAAATAGTTACTTAGGTTATTGTTAAGCAGAAACTATTTACATGTGTGAATCCGAAACAGTTGTCTGTTGATTGGGGAAAGGTTCGTCATCATATAAACCAACAAAGCTCAAGGTCATTGTTATCATATCCTCAAACTTACAACATTGCAAAGTCTATAAAAGTAGTGAATAAACAGAAACTATCAAAAATTCGTAAGGGTTCCGCGGAACCCAGTGTCTCGCCTACTTTTGCTGTTAATCGCAGGCTCAACAAAAATGAGGAAAAAAATAAATAAAAATATTCCTCTCTATACTATCTTTTGATTGTTAGTAGCTTCTGTCCAAGTTTGGTAAAAATCCAGGATAGTTTATGAATCTAATAAATATTTTAAAAACTTAAACTGCAGACTGTATGTAATGTTAACTGGAAGAAAAACAAAGTCCATTTATAAATAAAATACGGAAAAAATCAAACAAAATTTTAACAAAATTTCCTTCTAGATACTAGCTTTTAATCATAAACAAGCTTCTGTCCAAGTTTGGTACAAATCCAGGATAGTTTAAGAAAGTTGTTAAAATTTTAAAAACTTTAACCACTGAGTGAATGTAATGTTAACTGGCAGAAAAACTAAGTCCATTTATAAGTAAAATACGGAAAAAATGGATTTTTTTTTTTACAAAATTTACTTCTGGATACTATCTTATGATCATAAACAAGCTTCTTTCCATGTTTGGTAGAAATCCAGGATAGTTTAAGAAAGTTATTAAAATTTAAAAAACTTTAACCACAGAGTGAATGTAAATAAATGTTTCTTGGCAGAAAAACTAAGTCCATTTATAAGTAAAATACGGAAAAAATGGAATTTTTTTTTTACAAAATTTACTTTTGAATATTATCTTATGATCATAAACAAGCTTCTGTCAAAGTTTGGTTGAAATCCAGGATAGTTTAAGAAAGTTATTAAAATTTCAAAAACTTTAACCACAGAGTGAATATTTGTGGACGCCGCCGCCGCCGACGCCGACGGAATGTAGGATCGCTATGTCTCGCTTTTTCGACAAAAGTCGAAGGCTCGACAAAAATCAGCCCTCAACACATTTCCAAAATTACAACACAAGTCTCCCCAATTCATCTTTAGTTGCAAGAATAGATGCATTCTTTCTAGTTCCAAGTAGAACTTTAAAAAATTCCGAATGTACAATTTTTTAATTGGACCTTTTTCAGCAAAATTTAAAATGTCTTCTTCTGTTCCAGAATTTAGAGTTCTATATTACGGACACTTACAAGCGGTATTCCTAATCAAGGACAGGACAGACACTCCTTAGATTTTCCCATATTTTGGCACAAGGTCCCTATTTAAGGTTAATATCCGAGATTTAATCACTGAGAATTCAAGGTCAGATGATTGTGTTGTGGAAAAGGTAGAAGAGAATAAGCCTGCATCTAAGAATCAATATTCACCTTACAAGGTGCATTTGTTCCCAATTACTAGCAAACGAACTCTTTTTTAATTGTGTCTACCAGGTAACTGAAAATTTAATGGTAAAACTTGTTCCAAAAAATTCCGAAGAGAATACACATCAATCATTCGGATTATGAAGTACAGTCCAGTGGCGTATTCAGGGGTGGGGGCGTAGAGGGCGTACACACCCTTTGAAGAATCCTGGATCTGCCTCTGCTGTTAGATATCACTGGCTCCATTGTATTTTGCTCCATATCAAATTTTTCTGTCTACCACAAAGTTTGTTGAAAAAAGTCATATAATTAACACGGGAATGTAACTAAATATTGCATATCAGATCTACTTGACATCATGTGTTGTCCTATATCTTGTATAAATCTATTTTTATACCCCTGCCTCATGTAATTTTTCTACTTGCCAAAATTACTGTAGTTGATTTACAGTACTCTCCACGGACTTATATCTATGCTGATACTTTATTTTACTCGGATTACTGTGGATTCATTTATTTTCGTGGGTACCAATTTTCATGGATTGAGGAAAATTTGCATTTTCGTGGATATTTGATTTCGTGGTTTTGCAAAAGTCTGCATATAATCACATAGCAAATTTGCAATTCGTTGAACATTTAAATTCGTGGTTTCCCTGTCCAAACGAAATCCACGAAAATTGGTATCCAACGAATATTAATGAATCCACAGTAATTGACTCATATACTCTATAAACTAAATATCAAGATCAAATGTTGAGTCAACTGACAGCTTTGTGTATATACAGCTTGTAGGGATACTAAGAGCCTCGTGTTTATGTCCAATCTGCCAACAAAGAAGTGGTTATGTAAGACAAGCCTGGAAGTGTCATGGTAGAAAATAAATGTGTTCATAGGCGGATCCAGGGGGGGGGGGGGGGGGGGGTCCTGGGGAGCCCCCCCCCCCCTTTTGTGGGAAAAATTTGGTTGATTATATAGGGAATCACTGAAGCATGACTGGAGCGGGCCACCCCTTATGAAAAGTTCTGGATCTGCCACTGGTGTTCCAGCTGGATTGATTGATTGATTGTTAGTTGTCTAATGCCCAGTGGCAAATATCTCATATAGATATAAGAAGATGTGGTATGAGTGCCAATGAGACAACTCCCCATCCAAGTCAAAACTCATGCATATTTAGGATAATATTAATTTAACAATAAATCTAACAGGTAGGCTTTGCAAATTGAGGCAACCTGGACAAATGTTGGGATTTTATTAGACTGTCTGATATGTGAAACTTCACTCTGTCTTAATTTTCATGTTTCAAAGATCCAGGTTCAACTCAAGGTCAATTATAGTGTTTATAGAATCAAAGTAAGGTGCACATGTCTGTCTGAATTCTAAAAGGGGTCAAGCCAGATCCGATTTTTGTGGTCAAATGCAGTTTTTCTTCATACATGTAGTAAGTCCTTTTTCTAAAAAGACTGTCATCAAATTATTCTGTGAAGGTCAATTAAAGAGACAAGACAATAGTTTCATCATTTATTGGGTAAAAATATCATAAATAAATGTTCATAAAATGGCAGATAAAAAGTAGGTATATAAATTGCTGCAACCTATTCTACTTATTTAACAGTATTGTGTAGTGATTACCTCTATCAAAAGTAACATTAACAAAAATCCATGAAAAACTTAAATAATAAACAGAAATATGTATGTACAGAAGTCATGTGATTAAAGTTTTGATTAGAATCATTACCCTGATTGGTTACTATTAGTTATTAATGTAAGCTCTTTGCTCATTGTTGAAGGCCTTACGGTGATCTAGAGTTGTTAATTTCTGTGTCATTTGGTCTCTTGTGGAGAGTTGTCTCACTGGCAATCATACCGCATCTTCTTATTTTTATATTCATACAAACAAATGAATTGAGAAACACGGGTATATTTTCTTACAAGCAGGTGAATTGAGGAACACTGGTAATTTACCCTAGCAACACAAATAGAGGAACACAGCTATTTTACCCTAGTAACAGAAATAAGGGGATATAACTTACAAAATATTCTATATATTCCAATGCTCTGTTTACCCTGACACTCTGCATACCCATTTGTTCTAAATATGCCAATGCTCTATATATTCCAATGCTCAATATACACTAATACTATGTACCCCCATGCTCTATTTACCAAAATACACATCTATTTTTATTCATATTGAAAATTGACATGACAATGCAACAAGATCAAAATCTAAGTTTTTCAATTATCTGAGCATTATCAGAACTTTAGTAAGTTTAAATATGTTACCCTAAAATTAAGTTTACTGTTTAACAATTTTGATATGTTCATAAATTGAAGAAATCATGTTTAACCAAAAGAAAAATCCTTTTTTATCAGTTAATGTGGGATGAGTATTGTAGGTAGATGAAGCAAGTGAAGGTTTCAAATAGTGGCAAGATGACAAGTAATATAAAAGTAAAAAAAAAAAACAATTATGGTTCTCTGAGGCTCAGATTTTATGTTGGGGTACAGAGAATGTGTATGGCATTCACAAAAGTTGTCAAATAATAGAAAAAAAACTACATTTATTAACCCCACGGTCAATTCAATAACCAAGGAATGGAATGTAACTAAGGGAAATCTAGGGCTTATCATCTACAGGAAGCCATGATATCCAGATATTTATGTAATATCACTTCAATAATCCTTTTTATGGGGTTTTATATTTTACAAAAATAAATTGTTCAAAATAGAGTATTTATTAAAAAAATCTGGTGTATATATTGTTTTTTTTTATGAACTCATGGTTTTTTTTATCAAAATTTCTCCAACCATCAACAATACTAAATTATTTGTCACTACACTTTTCTTTCTATCCCATGATTTAACCCTTAGTTTTCAATATCTAAAACATTGACTAATGATTATGAGAATTTTAAAGATTTACATATTACCATGTACACTGTTATATTAACTTTTCAGTAACAGGAAACAACAAATCAACAAATTCAAATTGCACTTGAGAAATGAATAACAGGAAGATTTTATCCAGAACTTTGTGTTGTGGATGTAACAGCATTGTTTTTGGGTGGTGTGTCTTTGTGTGAAAATGCTCCAGCACCATAGGCTATCAATATTGCTATAATTATAACAATTACTACGCCTACAAGGACAAGTATTAACATCATCTTGGTATTCTTCCACCAATACTTTCTTTTGATTCTTCTGGCAGTTTTTTGGAATGTGGCAGCCTGAAATGAGCAAAAAATATTACTAACCCAGATTTTCACTTTGTTGGAATCTGTTCTACAGTTTTTTTTTAAATTTTGGATCTCTCTAAATTTATTTTGTAATTGTCACATTGATAAATTTAAAAATATTTATGCAACTGAGTTTCATGTTCATAGAAATAAGAAGATGTGGTATGAGTGCCAATGAGACAACTCTCCATCCAAGTCACAATGTGTAAAAAGTAAACAATTATAGGTCAAAGTACGGCCTTCAACACGGAGGCTTGACTCACACCGAACAGCAAGCTATAAAGGGCTCCAAATGCCTATTAAGCAAATATATTGAAAAACTGAATAAAACAAGTATTCTGAGATTATTGCATGGCAATACAAAGTCCCCAACCTGTTAATAATTCATTGTACTGCAAGAAAATGCTAACTTGATCTATAACTTGTCATGGTGTAAACTATATAACAAATATCAAATCATTATCATCAAGCATGACAGAAAAAAGTGTGGAAAACTGATTATTTGAGTGAATTTTCTAAGTTCAAGGACAATAACTCTGCACAAAAACATCAGACGAGAACAAAAATTCAAAACGCGATCTGTAACTTATTATGATAAAACTATATACCAAATATCAAATCAATATCTTTAAGCATGAAGAAAAAAAGTGTGGAAGTCTGATTTGTCTGGACAGACAGACAGACATACGAAGTGCAAACCTAAAGTCCCCTTCGACTTTGTTGGTAGGGCAGTGATGCAACTAATCGTCGGACCTGTTGGACCTGGGGGCAGAATTTTAGAGGGTCCGGCAAATGACGTCTTTGTGTCAGACCCAATGAACGACAAATATTTTTACTGTTTGGGGCCGTCAAAATTGAAATTTCTGTTGGTTCTTGTAACATTGGCTTCCAAATTAATAATTAATATATATGTAGTTGAAAGGCATTGAAACCGAAAGTTCTAAATGACACATTTATTGCCGGTAATAGGTAAACGTGCTGATGTAAACATATTTCGATCTTCTTTGCGTTTATCCAATTAGCGTAAGTCATGTGATAGCCTGGCATCCTGACCCAATTTAATACTTCCTAGCAGTGAGCCAGGATCCCAGGCTAATCATGTGATCATAATTATTTTTGTATTTCTAGGGACTTATAATTACACATAGCAATGAAAACGAAAGTAAATTTCCGGTAAAAATATTGAGTAGAAGCATGTTTCAGCTTCTTTTTGATAGCTGAGGGATAATTCTGATGATTACAAGACTCAGCAAGTGTTATCAGATGCGTTCCTCAGACGCACGGTTCATGCAATGGCACAGACTGAAAACCATGCGTCCATGGCGCAAATAAGTCGCCATAACGAGAACATTGTTAGTATGAAAAAACAAGTTTCGTCTCCATATGACACATCAGTGGTGCATGAACAGTTGGAACAATAGATGGCCAAATCAATTATGTAGTTGAAAAGCACTGAAAACCAAAAGTTCTATTAAGGAACAACTAATGTCGTAATGACTAGATTTAAGTAAATTATAAAATTAAACAAAAACAACTATTATTTTAGTTTTCTAAGAGTGTTTTTTTCTTCATTTTAGTTAATGTATGAACATATTTATTCGTTTTGACGTACAAATGTAGCTTGCCACTGTCTTTGTTTTTTATCTAATTGTTCTTATGCCAATTATTGGCGTAAGAACAATTAGATTATCTTGTGTCAAACTTTGACAGTCAAAGTACTCCTGTGAGGAATAACTCTTGGGTCATCATTTATGTATTAATATATAGAATTAACTACAATGTTTATGAATATGAATCACATATTACAATAATATATAACAAAATGAAAATTATTCAAAAGCGTTTCATTTTATTTTTGAGTGAAAATATAGGTCTGGCAAAAATTTTATGGGTCTGGCAAAACTTACTACCCTGTTTGCATCTCTGGTAGGGGACTAAAAAGCAAAGCTAAATTTTACATTACTAGTAATCTCTGGCAATCCTTTCATGTTTCTTTCTGGTTATAAAGCAGATATTGTTTTTCATATTAGGCATTTTATGTATAAAATTATGAATAATATTAAACAGTTAACTAACCTTATACATTCACGGATTGACCAGCTTTCACTTTTAAAATATTTCTACTCTGATATAATATCTTCAATTTTCATAGCTTTTTTATCTCAATGAAATGGTAACATATTTTGAAAGAGTGATGTCAGCTTAAAACAGAAAAAGGAATGAGAGCTTTCAAATGATAAAGACATTCCTAAATGAGGAAAGATTCAATGCAAGCTAACTTTCAACTTTACTTAACCTTGACCTTTGAACTTACACTAGCTTCTAAATCTTCTGTTTTATCAACTAAATCATCCAACTTTTCTCCTCTATCTAGAACTCTTTCAATATTCTGTGTCATCACATCTTTAACTTCATCAACTTGGGATCTCAATTTGGCAACATTGTCTGATTTGGAATACCTCTCCTTCAATAAAAACAGTAAAAATAAAAAATTACTTAAACAACAAAATAAAATAAAAACCCAAAGGTTCCCATGAGCCTGGATCATCCATCTAGTAAACATATGCCATTTTGATATACATGTAAATAATTTCAGGATAAAACAAAATTGTTGGCAAAAGTCTTGATCAATGAAATGATTAAAATTCTCTCTTTTCTTTATCATTTCAAAAATGCTAAAAGTTTATAAAAATCAACATTAAAGGGCAATAATTCCATTATCTAATTGTCTGACAGTTTTGACAGTTTTAAATGCACCTTGGTATCTTCTCTTTCTGTCTGTCTAAAGTGTCATTTCTGAAGAAAATATTCACAAGTCCAACTGTCTCAACTGGATTCATTTAAACCAGCACGATTATGGTTAATATTTATTTTATGGTCAAACTGTGTAATTCCTAACAAAAATGCATTTTGTTGATGTGCTATGTATATAATTCTATGTTGCTGAAGTTACAAGTTTGGTGAAATTATAGATACTTGTGAGACAATTAAAAAATAGATTTTAACTATATCCTTACACATTTTACATACTCTCCCATCACACCAATTGCTTCAATGCTATAGCTTATAAGTGTTTGATAATTTCTTTCCTGAATTGCTTCATTAAAAATTAAATGGTTAATAAAACATTCAAATTAATACAGATGACACTATTATCATTGGCAGTGTACAGGTTCCTTCCTATATAAATTAAGTAATTATATATGCTTTTTATATCTCAATCTTATAATTTGTTCTGTAAGGGGAATAACTCAAATTTGTTTACCTGTTTAGGTAGATCATATGCTTAAATTGCTGATCATTTTTGCTGTTATTCAGTTTTTGTCTGTCCGTAATAATTTTCAAAACAATAGGAAAAAATACACTAATTGGAACAAAATTGACATTTTAGGGAAACAACTCCCTAAAGTCATACTAGCATTTTTGTAGATCTTGTATTCTAACAGTTTCTGTATATATTAAAGTTTTCAAGATATTTAGCAACAAGAATATGTGTCCGTAGGACATCCTGGCTTGCTCTGACTCATATTTCTATGTTCACTGAACCATGAAATCTGGGTCAAAACCCTAATTAGGCATATACATGTACATGTATCAGAAAAAGTTCACACTAATATGAACAAGTGTACTATGTTTGAATTTAATGTGACCACAAATACATGGTCAAATACCTTAAACCAAACCTTAAAACCTGAGTTGGACCAGACTGACTAACAGATGGATACATACATAAACTTTCATATAAAAATACTGAACTTGGACAAAATATATTCATAAAGGGCAATAACTCTAATCTAGTGTCAATTGATGATTTCAATTACTGTAAATTCAGAAGTTATTGCGAGGTTTTTATTAATGCGAATAATGCGATTGAGGGAGTATCGCAATAATTAGAACTCACATTCTGATATCTGATATAAATAACTGTATGCAGATTTTCCTGCAAGCGCAATAATTAATCTCGCATTTTTGTCCTTTCCACAAAAATCGCAATAATAAATTCACGCAATAATTTCTGAATTTACAGTATATTGGTATTCTTGTAGATTTTGTTTAAATTTGCTGATCATGTTTGCTGTTTACAGTTTTTGTCCATCTATATTATAGTTTACAAAATAATAGGAAAAAATACAATTATTTGTCAAAAATCATCCTTTAAAGACAATGACCCTCTGACAATTTTGGTAGACATGGTGTAAAGATTTTAGAAAATTACTTGTATTTCTACCTTATATTTCAGTCAAATGAACTGAATTATAATCCATAAACTATGATCTAGACTTACAGATTTACCAGTTAAAGTTAAGTGTAAATTGGTTCAGAAATTTTGTTTAAGATCTTTAAAAATGTCAACGACAGATGACAATGGTCTCCAAGAGATGGCAACAACTTTCATGTCCTTAAATTGCCAATTGAATAAAATAAATAAATGATGTGGTAGTACTGTAAATGAGACAGCAACCACACAATGTAATTTATCAAAAAAGAGTTTTTGTATATCAACACATCAACCTACCATTTCTTGTGCTAGTTCCATGCTGAATTCACTATCTAAGTCATGACTTTCAGCACTGACTGCTCTCATAGCAATAGTCCCACCTTGGAACTTTCTTTTGATCTATAAATAACAATTAAATAAATATATACAGACGTTTCCTGGGAGGCATTTCATTCAAAAATAACATGGCTTCAGACTATTCTTAAATTTTAGAAAATGAACTTTTCATAGTTTTCTCCTGTGCATAGGATTTAAACTTTCTACACGTATTAAAGTTACAAGTACAACAGCAATGGGCTTTATTAAAAATAAGCAGTTGATATATAAGACATCATAACCTCAATAAATGAATTTGTAAAAATCACAGGAAATGAGTACTTATAACATGTATTAGTTTGTGAATAAAATTTCTGTATTAAAACAGTTCCTCTATTTTAAATAAATGTGCTCTATCATTTAATAGGAAGAAATACGTAAAAAAATGTTGAAAGATTTATATCTGAGAATATCTTTAACTTAGCTTTATAGATTACCAGTATTAAATATATTCATCTGTATTGTGTTACACAATAAAACAAACAATTACTTAAGATACAGACCTGAGTCTGTAAAAAACTTAAACTAGGATATGTAATTCAAAAAATCATAATTGCATAGATATAAGAAGATGTGGTATGAGTGCCAATGAGACAACTCTCCATCCAAGTCAAAATTTATAAAAGTAAACCATTATAGGTCACAGTACGGTCTTCAACACGGAGCCTTGGCTCACACCGAACAGTAAGCTATAAAGGGCCCCAAAAAATTACTAGTGTAAAACCATTCAAACGGGAAAACCAATGGTCTAATCTATATAAAAAACGAGAAACGAGAAACACTTATGAACCACATCAACAAACGACAACTACTGAACATCAGATTCCTGACTTAGGACAGGTGCAAACAAATGCAGCGGGTTTAAACGTTTTAATGGTACCAAACCTTCACCCTTTTTCTGAAACAATAGTGTAACATCACAACATAGAAAGACACACTATAAAATATCAACTGAAATAGCTTAACTCAATCAAAGGACATATTAACACCATTGAACATACACTGAACAAATAAATTTGACCTATGACACAATGTAATACAAAATGTACAAAATAAATAAACTAAGGGAAGAATAATAAAAGTAACATGTTATATCGGTAAGAAATGTTAAACAATTTAAGAAAAACAATATGCTCGAACAAAAATACCATCCATTTGCAATAACTTTAAACACAGGTAAATGAAAATAATTTTGTTGTTAGGTATACCTGTACAGTACCAATAGAGAAAGGAAATATTTTTACAAAATAAATAATTTTGAATACAAAATAAGTAAACTAAGGGAAGAATAATAAAAGTAACATGTTATATCGGTAAGGAATGTTAAACAATTAAAGAAAAACAATATGCTCGAACAAAAATACCATCCATTTGCAATAACTTTAAACACAGATAAATGAAATTAATTTTGTTGTTAGGTATACGTGTACAGTACCAATAGAGAAAGGAAATATTATTACAAAATAAACAATTTTGATGTTCATAGTACGAAGTGAAAATTTATATTTATACCAAACACTTATCAAAGCTGGTATATAGACCAGATATAACCCTGAATAACATTAAATAACAAAAAAGCAATACAATTAGTATCAACAGGTCAAATAAACAAGAAAGTACGATTTGAGAGTACTCGCAGTAACTGACAGCTAGTTAAAAGCCAAAACAATTAATAATAAAAAATCATGCATCAGAGACTAAAATCAACTAAAACACATCACAGGGATTTAGTATTTTAACGTCATGGACAGTCAAAGAAGACATGACTAGTGCAATGCCAAAAATAAATGTATCGACAGACAGTAGGATAGTTAGGAGTTTAACCTCTTTATAGATCTAAACGAACGTGGGTGTGTCTTTATACATCCCACTTGAAAAAAATACAAATTTAGTTATGTTTTAATTTGCTGATGACAAAATCGATATTAGTGCCAATGTAAACTATATTCAAAGATCTAATTACAACATTGGTAAGATAACCTTTACTAATAAGCCTGTTTAAAGGTTCGATGAGTTTACACGGATCACATAGTGATTTCCGCGCTTTAAGTACAATATTACCGTAAAATTTAGGATGTGAAATACCGTTTTTTATCAGTTTTCTACAAGTACAGCCAAATTTACTAATCAAATCTTTGTATCTATGAAAGAACTTAGCAAAAGTTTTACGTAATTTATGGTAACGAAATCCTTGATTTAATAATTTACCAGTGATGCATTGATTACGTTCGTTAAAATCTATGACATCACTACACACACGGGAATAACGAACGAGTTGGGATATATATACACCGTATGATGGAGCCAAAGGAACATCGCCGTCTAAAAAAGGAAAATTAACAATAGGGAATGAAAAATCGTCTCTTTTGTCGTAAATTTTCGTATGGAGTTTTCCTGTAGAGATTGAAATGTCCAAATCCAGAAAAGGACAACTACTGCTGTTTATGTTAGATTTAGTTAAAGTAAGTTCTATTGGGTAAATTTAGGTAGTATATTTAGAGAACTCTGGATTATTTAACGAAAAAATATCATCTAGATAACAGAAGGTATTGTTGAATGTATCAACCAAATGTAACAATGACGTGTCTTTACTGAGTTTGGTCATAAACTGAGATTCATAGCAATACAGGAATAAATCTGCTATTAAAGGGGCACAGTTAGTGCCCATAGGAATACCTACTACCTGTCGATACATTCTATCGCCGAAACGTACATATATGTTGTCCAGGAGAAAATTTAAAGCTTCAATCATATCTTCACATTTCCAGTAAGTGTATCTAGCATACTTTCCTTTTTCGTTACAGAAAAAGGCTTTAAACGAGTTACAGCAAATAAATTTGTAATGAGATTTTTCAAAAGACCATTTAATTAAATATGAAAACTTTTTCTTGATAAGATTGTGTGGAAGTGTAGTATAGAGAGTAGAAAAATCATAACTGTCAACAGAATTAAAAGGACCATCAAAAGCATGTATTTTATCTAAAACCTAAGAATTTTTAACACTCCAAAAATAATTAATACCATTATTTTCATAAGCTTTATTACAAAAGTTAATAACAAGTTCTTTGATAGTAGTAAGGGAGGTAGTTAGAAGCACTGATAGATTAGTAGTAGAACACTTACTAGATGCGGAGATGAAACGGAATTTAAATGGTTTTTTGTGCAATTTAGGTAACCAGTACATAGTAGGGACTTTCAAATGTTCGGAAGAGGCCTTAAGCTGGGTAGTGGCAGTGATATGCTTGTTTACAATTTGACTCTCTGTGGAGCGTACCGACCTGAATGTAGATGAATTTGTAATTTCGTTTTGGAGAACTTCCGTGTAGTATATGCGTCACACCACCACTACATTATTTGCTGCTTTGTCTGCCGGTACGAACACAAACCGCTTTGCGAGTACTTGGAGTTTATTTTTTATTCTGGAAATGGGAATATCATGGACCCTATTACTAATTTCAGAATTGTTTTCAAAATGAGATATACGAATATTAACAGTATTCATAATTTTATTCAAATAACTGTCTAGAGATTTTTTATCAGATTTTTCACATTTACACCAATTTTTACAGTAGACAGACAGAGCCTCTTTAATGATCTGACGACACTGTTTCCAATCTATTTTAGATGGAGGACGATATTTCGGTCCTTTCTTAAGAAAAGTTATGACCTCACGGTCTTCGACGATGTTGAGGTCTCCTGTAAGGACATGACCATAGGGAACATATCTAAAACTAGATGTTTCACAATCTCAAGTGGAAGGAACATTATTTTCTATATTGACGTCTGATGTAACTGACGTATAATTAAAAATCAAACTTCTGCTGGTTTTTTTTATAAGAATATGAAATAATAGGTGGTTCTATATTATCAAAATATGGAGGTATTTGGCTTTGGATGGTAGAGTCATTGAAAATACTAGATAAGTTAATAAAATTAATACCTCTATTTATATATTTTAATTTAAGAAAATGCCGTTTATGATTTTCAGGTTTATCGATACTAGGAAATAGCCTATGATGACAAAAGGCTGTAATAATACGGGTGTATTCATACATTGGGCTAAAAAAAGAAATTGTATCACACTCCAGAAAAATAGCATATAATTTACTTATTGGTATCTGACCCAGTTTGCATAATACTTGATGTCTGCCATTATTTTTTATTATAGATAACAGATCAGCAAGTGTATAATTTATACGATGTTTAATACGTTGATTACGGTTTTTGCGTTTGCCATGAGACCTTTTATTTCTAAGTCGTTTATCGACAATATTAATGACATCGATTGAAGTTTTAGTTATGTTCCCCTGTCCTAATATTTTGTCATTAAGACCGAGAGGATAAGCTGTTTGAAGTCTTTTTATCCAAAATAATTCACGAACTTCACGTGATTTTTCAAATTGCTTGTGTGATTCTCCTGGTTGTTTCTGAATGGTTTCAAGTGGTTGGAATTTAATAAATTTTAGATTGTGATTATGCTTATCTAAATGTTGATATATCAAACTTTTGAATTTTTTAGGTCTACGAAAGCGGTAAAGGTGTTCTTGATTTCTTTTGTAATACGCTCGTCCCGTCTGTCCCACATATTGAATACCACACTTAGGTTGGGTTCAAGTTACCACATATATAAGGTTTTGAGTTTTTCAGGTAATGTCACAGGAAAAGGAGAGCGAAAAAGCTCTCCCGTTCACTGTTGACCGTACAGTATTTTTCGAAGTTAATCTAAAACAGGTTAGTCACTTTTTGGCATTGCACGGGAAAATTTGTGGATATCCATGCAAGGCTTTCAAAAAATATAAATATTGCAAAAAAATCTGAAAAATTTCACTTATGGCATCACTTTAATGAAATCTCAGTAAATTTATTATGTCAAGTCTTAGCTAATATTTATATTTTTTGAAAGCCTTTCTTCTAAAGTTTAAAAGCTACAACTAGCAATTGTATCATATAGTTTAGAAATTTTTCCATGAACTAACAAGGCCAAATAAACCCAAAAATGAATCTTCTGTTTACAGCACTTATCCTACAAAATTTCATAAAAGAATGTAGATTTTTTTCACAAAGATGTACTGGGCATGCTTTCAATTTGATCATAAAAAGGTCTATAATATAAACAAAAAAGATTTGCATCATGTAAAGTATATGATAATGGTAAGTACGTCAAATAATTGAAATAAAAGCACAAAAATACCTCAGCTAAGAAATTATAAGACTGTTGTTTTCCAAACTCTGGTTTAGCTGCACATAAATAAATAATACCATTGTCTACCACACAGTGATACAAATAACTACAAAATAATTGGTACAGTTAGATATATGATAAGAACAAAATCTCCAAGCAATGGCAAAATAAAATCATATTCAACATCTATTTCTTTATATCTAAATATGTTATATGAACAGGAAAAATAAATTCTTAAAGATTCAGATTCTGAATTTAAGATAAAAATATCTTGGAAAGATGAAAAAGTCATAGTACAAGATTAATTAACAAAAATTTGAAATTGCTGCTTGGAAATGATGCTTTCAAAATTTAAAAATGTACTTCTCTTAAAAATATTTCAAACTCATCATGCAACATTTTTCAAATTAATAAAAACATTGCAAAAAGTGTCATTTTATAGTATTTGTACTTATTCAGTATATCATATATTGTATCAACAGGCAAAGACTTATAACTGTCATAAGGAAAAATATTCATTTATATGTTTCGGAGTTTAGTGTGACATCCATTTTCTATGAACCAGTACACATTTTTGTTTAGGGGCCAGCTGAAGCTTGCCTCCGGGTGCGGGATTTTCTCACTGTGTTGAAGACCCATTGGTGGCCTTGGGCTGTTTTCTGTTCTTTGGTCGGGTTGTTGTCTCTTGGACACATTCCCGTTTCCATTCTCAATTTTATTTAATCTATTGTTATTGTCTTTCCATATCTCATTCTGTGTACTATTCAAATTTGAAAATTGTAATTTTAAGGTACTGGTATGCCATATTGTTCATTTCAAATGCAGAAATTTTAACAGATATTATGAACATTGGGTATGTTACTAGCTAAAAAGACACAAAAATAATCTTATGTGAGCATATTTCCAGAAAATTCAATAGGCAGTGTTCTGATTAGGTAATTCAAAGTCATCTAAATATGACCTCTACCAGATTAATCAAATTTTCATGTCACATACTGTAAATTCATTATTTTCGTTGGTACTCATTTTCGTGGATTAAGGAAAACTTGTCAAGAATATGATAACACGCTCATAGGGCATTTATCTGATATCTGTTCATTGATATTTAATTTCGTGGTTTTGCTGAAGTCTGCATACAATCCTATAGAAAATTTGTCATTCATTGAACATTTAATTTGGTCCACCTGTATCCACAAAATCCACGAAAATAGTTACCCAACGAATAATAATGAATCCACAGTACCATGGCCAGTAAAAGAAAGAAATAATTGATATGATTTTAATCAGTTTGACGAAAAGGTTATCTTGTCTGTCCCCTGATCACTCCTCATTTTCTTTAGTGGCAAATTCCCTATTTCTTTTTCTTATTTCAATGTCACTGGTGGAGCAGGATCTGAGTCCACCCCATGTTTTGAAGGAGTTAATGTTGCTCAATCATTATTCTATGCGTAGTGTTTTGAGGACTGCTGTTTGTCTTTGTTTTTCTCAGTTGGTCATGACATTTTCTGTCATTCTTTAACTTATGGTTATTTCCCCTTTGAATGATCTTTCTCTTTTCAAAATTTGCGAGATAATTCATTGATAGTCTTATTTTTGAACTATTTATGCCTACTGTAAGTTAATCAATAAACAATTAAACACGCACTTCATTGTAATTTGACAATGACAGTTAGTTAACATGGTTAAAATCCCATTTCAGTTAAAAGTAATACAAAATATCAGTAATTTGGATCAGACTGATTTTGAATTTTTTTTTATAGAGAATATCATTTTGTTATGGTCTGATATTCATGTATATGAGGTGAAAGGAAAATAAACTCAAATCACATATAAACAAGGAATTATTTGAATCTGGAATAATTTTAATTTCTGGAAAATTGATAAGAATTTATGATGAAAACTAACACAGTTAAGGAGGGTTAGCCATGCATGCATGGCTAATGAGGGTTAGTAAGGCGTGCATGGCTAACCCTGTTTAGTTTGGTTAGTTTTCATCATACATTTCTTATCAATTTTCCGGAATTCAAAATTATTGCAGAATTCAAATAATTCCTTGTTTCTAATAGTGCATCAAACACACATGCATTTTGTAACACAACACTGAACAATTACAACATCTTTATAAAACAATATTACCACATGATTTATCCATCTCATCAAAAGTAGGCACTGTCAAACATAATAATCAGGAACTTTCTGAATATTGGTATAATGATTATGCTGTTCATGTTAAAAGTCTTTTGGAAATGAACAATGTATATAGATATAAGAAGATGTAGTATGAGTGCCAATGAGACAACTCTCCATCCAAGTCACAATTTGTAAAAGTAAACCATTATAGGCCAAAGTAATGTGTACAGATTGAAATAAAAAGTCAAAGTTTGTTATTGTTAATCTGATTAAAATACAGATCACTAGACACGCTTTGTTTACAAGGATCTGATCACACTCCATTTTACTCTCTGTTCTGGTAATCATTGCATCAGCCAAGGAAGTTTCAACTTTCATATTTTTGAAGGTGTTCATCATCACATTATTTTTTTACAAATACAAAACTAAAAAGTTAGTCTGCCCTGTCTGAGGCAAGACAGATGGCACTAGCAAAGTTATAATTTGCATACAGAAAGAATTACCTGCTAGATTTGTATGTTGTCTTTCCATCATTCCTTGTAGGAATATTGGGTAACATGGACACAACTTCATTCTCAAATGATCCTTGAGCATTTGATTGGCTGCAGAGAATGGTTGTACCACGTGCAACACAACTATATAAGATTGTCATCTGAAATTATAAAAGACCACAGCTCAAAAGGGGTCCAGTTAAGATCAGATGATGACTGAAATACCTCAACAGAAAAGATCTGGTGTGTATTTTGTTAAAGCCTGGGATCCTTGCCATGCATCCACTTCCTAGACCTATTTTGTAATATCTCAGATGGTAATGCAACACTTTCAATGTTTTCCGTTCAAACTCGGATATGTAATTAGGATCCAGTCTCCCCTTGTGACCTATCTACAACCACTATTGACACCCATTTATCGAAAAGGCAGTAACATTTAATGTGTAATTTAATGTGTAATAAACACCTATTGAGCACTCCCCTTCTCATGTGTAACCTCTAATGGTCTATTCATATCATAAAAAGTTTATTTTTAAAACACATGCTTAATTATCAAACAAACCTTATTTCCAGTTTTTTATCTGTGTGTTGTAAAAAAAAAAACCCAAGGAAATGTATTGAATTTGAGAATGAAACATATAAATATAAGTAAAAATCTTATCAGCAAATATGTTACAATGTACTGGGGTTTTTATCTCACTTCCGGATTACAACAAGACCAATTAACACATGTCCCATTTACCAGTATTTGTACTTATTGTATAGTTTATGTTAAAATCATTTTGTGCATGAAATTAGCATACTTTTCGATCAATTTGTGTTTCAGATATTGGTGAAAGTGGGTGGTGTCATCCTTCTCAATAAATCCGAGGTATTCTGAACAAGTTTCACTTTTGGTTTCCCTACTGTCAAAGGACAGGACAGAGAAGTTCCGAGAACAGAAATGGCGGGAATTCGATAGATGCTGAGGATGGAAGATTGTTATACTGTACACTGTTGTTTGTAGCAAAAATATCGGCCAATTAAATAACAATGAGCATAAACAGATTAACGAAATAAGAAAATTGAATTTAACACACACACAATAATTTGAAGTATCCTGATCGGGCGTGTTTTTTTGTTCTTCGGTAGTGAGCCAGAAGAGGTCCATTTCTGTTTTTTTTTGCATTTGGAAGATCTTCTGTCTCTCTTCTCCCTCTTCCTTTTAAATATGTAGTTTAGACAGCAGAGGCACATAACAAACATGGCATCGCTTAGTCTAAATGTCATTAATAAATTTATGAATGCAGATTAGTTAGTAGAATGTGAGCTGTGTGATAACAGTTTTTTTTTGGTGTGTCAGCCTTAGTAGGACATCCCTATACGGACAATAAGCTGGATAAATATAAGAACTAGGGCGTGTTTTATTGGTCTCTTCTGCACATCTCCAGAATGTCTTCTGGTGAAGAGTTTAAAAAAATGAATCTGGACCTCTTCTGGAGATATTCTACGGAAGATCAATAAAACAAAAATTCAATTTGCCGTCGAATATAGCTGATTTTTGTTATGTTGGATGACATAAATGAAGTTTACGATGATTTTATAGAAAATTAAGATACGTCCGGTAGACATGACTGCAAGTGTGCTCTGTTCGTGACATTTTTCTTTGTTCATTCCTCTAACTCAATTTTGCTAGACAAATCTGTCTTAAACCCCCACTATTTGATTTTTAAGAATAATCTTAGACTGCACAAAAATTCGTCAATGTTTTGTCTCGAATATGATCAAAAAGGACATCTTGTCTATCCAATTTTTTTAAAGTAACCAAACTGGATTATTTTTGTATAAAGCAAAGATATCGGAAAGGTCTCAAAATCATTTTCTCTGATGGTCCTTGAAGAAAATCTTCTGCTCCTAACTATTATTTCTATTGCAAAATGTCGATGGTCAAAACCTTCGGACCACCACTTTTCAAAAATATTCCTTGTATATGTATCAATATGCAAGTATACAATGTATACCAGACATTTCTCAGACTGTTTTTTTTTTCTTTTTTTTTAATAAATCCGTTGGTTGTGTACTGATTGATACTTCAGTCTGGGAGAACAAGATTTATTTCAGTACTAGTTGTTAATTATTAGCTTTGAACAAACTTCCAGTAATTGCAAATACTCTTATTTCGGTGCTTTGTGTCTTTTGTCTTAATGTAAGTTTTTTTGTGTGTGTCTCGTACCGATCTTTGGAGTTAATTTAATTGCAATTGGTTTGTGCAGGTTGTTCTTATATCTTGTACTGTTACACCACAGTCCCAGCTTCGGGAAGGACTGAGCGCTCACAAACATGTTCTTGTACTGTTACACCACTGTCCCAGGTTACTTAGGGGGCGGGTTGGACCGGATCCTTCTAACATGTTTAACCCCGCCACATTCTGTATGTATGTGCCTGTCCCAAGTCAGGAGCCTGTAATTTAGTGGTTGTCGTTTGTTGCTGTGTTACATATTTGTTTTTCGTTCATTTTTTTGTACATTAATTAGGCCGTTAGTTTTCTCGTTTGAATTGTTTTACATTTGTGATTTCGGGGCCTTTTATAGCTGACTTTGCGGTATGGGCTTTGCTTATTGTTAAAGGCCGTACGGTGACCTATAGCTGTTAATTGCTGTGTCATTTGGTCTCTTGTGGAGGGTTGTCTCATTGGCAATCTTCATTTTTATATCAACCCTGCCATATTCTTTTGTGCCTGTCCCAAGTCAGGAGCCTATAGTTTAGTGGTTGTCGTTGGTTCATGCCTCGACTCATATTTGATATTTTGTAAATTATTTTGTTATGTAAAATTAGGCCGTTAGTTTTTTCGTTTGAATTGTTTCTCACACTTTTCACGTCGGGCCTTTTATAGACGACTTTTACAGTATCGGGTTTTGTCATTGTTGAAGGCCTTAATTACGGTTGTCTATAATTGCTTACACCCACTTCATATTTGAAATCCGGTGGATAGTTTCCTCATTAGAAATCATACATCTCTTCGTTTTTATATTATATACCTGACTTTTAAACTCGTGTTTTCCTGAACCGAGTCCTGAACATGCATGACATATTTGTCACTGGGCGTTACAAATTAGCAACAAACAATCAATCAATTTAAACTTGTGTTAAATAAGAAGAAAACCCATTTGATATTTATTCATTTATTGTGGTGGGGGACAGGAGGATTTCATATATGAATATAGTTGCCTGGTTAGAGCTGAAAAATAGGCATAAGTAGCGACAGATTAAAAAAGTTAATAATGCCCTCTTCCCTTCCCCATCCTTCATCTATAAATTTAAACTGACCACCACGGAATAGCCCAACTTAGTGTTGAAAGTAGCGTTAAACAATAATCAATCAAAATCCCTTCCCTAGAATATCAAATAGTCGTCCCTTAACTGTTATTGTCCGTGTAGTTCTTATATTTATCCAGCTTATCGTCCTACATGGATGTCCTACTAAGACTGTCATACCATAAAAACGTTTATAACACAGCTCACATTCTAATATATCTGCATTCATAAATTTATTAATGTCATTTAGACTAAACGACGCCATGTTTGTTATGTGCCTCTTCTGTCTAAACTACCCATCAAAAAAGAAGAGGTGGAAGAGAGCCAGAAGATCTTCTCTATTCAAAAAAACAGAAATGGACCTCTTCTGGCTCACTACCGAAGAACAAAAAAACACGCCCCTACACAGACAATAGCAGTGAGGGGACGACTATTTGATATTCTGGGGAGGGGGGTGCAGGAGGATTTTTTTGCGGATTTATTATTCATTTTAATCTGCCGCTAATCATGCCTATTTTTTCACCTCAAACCTGGTCATCATATTCATATTTAAAATCCTATTGTCGCAACCCCACCACAAAAAAAAATATCAAATGGTTTTACCCTTATTTAACACAAGTTTAAATTGCTTGATTATTGGTTGCTTATTTTTAACGTCCAGTGACAAATATTAGGCAACCGTAAGGCCTTCAACAATGACAAAAGCTCATACCGTATAGTCTGCTATAAAAGGCCCTGACATGAAAGAAAATATTTCTCTTAATAAAATGTCATTTATTCTAGTAATTCTTTTATTAATTTAAAAAGTTGTATATTCCAGTATGTTGTTTTTCCAGTTGCAAGAATAAATAAGTTTATCCAATTTTGAACAGTCATTGACAGTAGAAGAAATGGTTGATGTCGTTTTTGCAGAGAATATGATGTCATTGCAAGCAATTCTACAATTCCAGGAAGTTTTGAAAGAAAAACTATGATCAATGAGGTATGGACAATCATCAGATTTATGAATCACACTTTTCATGCCCCTGCCGTAGCGGAGGGGGCATTATGTGTTACCCTTGTCCGTCCCGTCCGTCCATCCTCAAAATTAGTTTCCATTCTCTTAACTTTAGTTTGCCTCAACCAAATGTTATAAAACTTATACACAATGCTTATTACCACAAAACACAGATCAAGTTCGAAATTGGGTGGCGTCACTTTTACCATTCATGAGTTATGTCCCTTTACAAACATAAAAATTGCTGTATTTTTCGTTTCCTTTCTCTTACTTTAGTTTGCCTCTTCCAAATGTTATAAAATGTATACTCAATGCTCATTACCACAAAACACAGATCAAGTTTGAAATTGGGTAGAGTCACTTTTACTGCATGAGTTATGCCCCTTTATAAGCATAAAAATTGCAGAATTTTTCATTTCTATTCTCTTACTTTAGTTTGCCTCAACCAAATGTTATGAAACTTATACACAATGCTTATTACCACAAAATACAGATCAAGTTCGAAATAGACTATTTTCATATTACCGACTTTTGACTCCGGATTATATAATTTGTTGACTGGTTGCCTTGGACATCATGGTACTCGGTAAGGTAAGAGTGACCAAAATAAGTAAAACCAAACATATAATCGGTGTTATTTGAGGGGAAAGTTTACTGTTTTCCGATGATTTTGTAGTGAAAAAAAATGTTAATCAGGTAATTTCCCCCCAAAATTGTACCGATTGAACGCTTGGTTTTACTTCTTTAGCTTGCTCTTACCTGACTTGGTACCATGATGTCCAAGGTAACCAGTTGACAAATTATATAATCCGGAGTCAAAAGTCGGTAATATGAAAATAGTCTATTGGGAGGCATTACTTTTACCGTTCATGAGTTATGCCCCTTTATAAACATAAAAATTGCTGAATTTTTTGGTTTCCTTTCTACTTTAGTTTGCCTCACCAAATGTTATGAAACTTATACTCAATGCTTATTACCACAAAACACAGATCAATTATGAAATTGGATAGCGTCACTTTTACTGTTCTTGGGTTATGCCCCTTTATAAATGGAAAAATTGCTAAATCTGTCGTTTCCGTTTTCTAACTTTAGGTTGCATCAAACAAATGTTATGAAACTTATACACAATGCTTATAATCACAAAACGGTCTTAACTACGGTACATGAATTCTGCATCTGTATGTGGAAGTTGACTCATGCATATTTACAAGCAGGGGCATCTGTGGCCCATAGACACAGTCTCCATTTATTTGAAAACCATTTTCCCATTACATGCTCATGCAAGGTGACCTATAGTTGTTTACATTCTCATCTTTGGTCTCTGGTGGTTAGTTCACTAGTAGGCAATCACAATGCAGCTCCTTGTTTTTATATGCTTGTAGGTTTCGGTTTTAATTC